GGGCTGTGTGAGGGCGTTCAGGAAACTCGGGCAGACGCACCTGCACATCAGGGTGGGCTGCTCTCCAGCCGCGTCCCTGCCCAAGGACAGCTGTGACAACATTTGGGGCTGAGGTACATCATACTTCTCAACGGGCTGAAGGGGCCTTGGCGGAGCCTGACTCATCACCCTTGCTGAATAATCCCCAAGGAAGGGGCAGGAGTGGGCATCAGATTAAAGTAAAATAAGCAACAGCGCCCAGACCTTGGCCCTTCCTGCTAAGCCCACACACACCCTCCTTCCCGCCTCCAGAGCCTGAGCCCCGGCCTCCCATCACCCCACCCCCAAATCAGGGTCGGGGCACGTGGGCCCCCCGACCTGCCGGAGACCTTGGGAGGTCACAGGATCCCGGGGCCTCGGTCTCCTCATCTGAAAACAGGAACAGTGACGGTGATGCCCACCGTGTGGGAGTGCTGCCGGGCATCGTGAGACGACATGGGACCCCAAACATGGACCCTTCCTCCCAGGCTTGGCTCCACGGTGTGCCTGCTGGAAAGAGTCCCGGGAGAGTGGGGAGCCCCCACCCACGGCCCCCAGTCATAGACTTGATCCTCCCGCCCTCGGCCAGAGCTCTGAGTCTGCACACCTGAGAGCTGGCTGCAGGGTGAGCACGGAAGCTGTGGGCACTTGGTGGGCACTTAGCACAGGGCCTGCGTGGGGCAGGCGTGGACCAAGGCAAGCCACACCTCTCCCCTTGCAGCCTGAGGAGCGGCTGGCAGGCTGCCCCACCAGTGACCCACATCTCCTGGGTCTTCACTGCTCCTTAGCTGGACCAGACAGACGGACAGACAGGGCCCCGGCTGCCTCATTGCCGCCCCCGAGTGTGTCTTTGGATTCCCCTAACTGCCCTGAGAGAAATGAAAGTCCCCACTGGGAGGGACCCTTGCTGGCTCCTGGCCCCACTCCCCACAACCAGCATGAGGCCTGGGGAAGCGTCAGCAAGGTATGCACGCTAATGGGACGGGTGCACAGCTCCCCCTCTCCTTCCTGCTCAGGTCCTTGTAGGAAGGAGATAAAAATATCCAAGGCCCCGTCTCATCTCTGGATAAGATAAGGGGTCCATCCATCTTGCTCTTCTCGTTCACGGGGGAGACCGGAGGGGCCTCATGTCCACCGCAGCCCGAGCCAGCCCCCACTCTAGACCCGCACCTGCTCTGGACTCCCACCCGCCAGCAGGCCTTGCGCAATCGGACGCCCATCCATCTCTTTCTTCCTCCTTCGCCTGGAGGCCTCCGGCCCTGACCCCTGCCCCGGGCCTCCTGGCCTGGTCCAGGGACACTTTGTCCCATGACGTGATCAGTTTGCTGTCCTGGCCTCCAGGAGAGATAAAAGGATTGGGCTGAGAGGGGGTGGAGGGACACTGGCATGGCGCTGTGGACCAAGGCAGGAGTGTGGATGGCAGGGCCACAGCTGGCCCTGTGCTGGGCACGGACACTGGGCACCAGAGCAGCTACGGCCCCCAAGGCAGTGCTGCCCTTCGAGGCCATACCCAGGTGTCCGGGCAACAGGTGGCTGAGGCTGCTGCACATCTGGAAGGAGCAGGGCTTCGAGGACCTCCACCTGCAGATGCAGCAGATCTTCCAGGAGCTGGGGCCCATTTTCAGGTGGGCCCCCCGCCCCCACCGCGCCCCCTCGTGCTCTGTCCTGGCCGCCTGCTGAGTCCTCGCAGGGTGCCCCCTTCAGCAGAAGGACGTGGCTCTCCCTGAGGACGGAGCCATCCAGGGCTTGCGGCTAACAGACAGGCTGCACACACAAGCAGGAGAGGCTCCAGTTACACAGCTGGAGGGCCTGCCTGCTCGGGGCCACAGTCGGGACACTGTCCGGACTGGGAAGGACAGCCCCACGCAGGGCTTTGACTTTGTCCCACAGGTACGATGTGGGAGGGAAACACATCGTGCTCCTGATGTCGCCCGAGGATGTGGAGAGGCTGAAGCAGGCGGACGGCTACCTACCCCATCGGACGGCCATGGATCCCTGGCTGGCACACCGGCAGCACTACGGGCACAAATGTGGCGTGTTCTTGCTGTGAGGGCGAGTCTGGATGAGCAGGGTGGGGAACCGGCAGCCTGGGTGCAGAGACGAGGCAAGACAGGCACGAGCCAGGCAGGTGGAAAGAGGGTGACTGCAGCTCCCAGTGAGTGCCCATCCCCAGGGGTCATGTGTGCCCTGGGCTGGGAGGGGAGCAGGGCGAAGCCAGGGACCCGAGCACAGTCCGTCCCTTAGCCTGAGAGGAAGAGGCAGCGGCCGTCCGGGAGAAGCCACTCTGCGCGGGCCTCGTGCAGGTTGGGCTTCTGCCCTCCTACAGGTCAGAAAGCCAAGGCCTGGAGAAGGGGAGTCACAGGCCAGGGGGACACATTAGCGTGTGCTGGAGCCTGGGCTCCACCAGGCTGCAGCCTCCGCCGGGGCTCTGTGGGTCCCTGAGGCCGGGGAGATGGCAGACTGGACGTCACTGGCATCTTTGCTCAGCAGCTAAGCTTTAAGTGGGTGCCCGTGGGGGCGTGTATGTGTGTGTCGGGTGTGCATGTTTGTGCCTGCCTGAGTACGTTTGTCGTGTGTATGCACATGTGTGGTTCTATATGTGTGTGAATGGATGTCTGTTTGCCCGTGTTGATGTGCTAGTGTGCTCATGCATGTTGTGTGCGTGTTTGTGCATGTGTCCCATGTGCTTGCCTGTGTGCATTTTTTGCTTATTGTGTGTGCATGCATGTGGTATGTGTGCCTGCATGCACACACGGCTTTGAGCGCACTGTTTCTGTTGGTGTGTATTTCCACGTGTTCTCTGTGTTAGTGTACGTGCATGTCTGTGTGTCCTCTGTGCGTGTGTGTGCATGTGCCTACCAGCGGCTAGCCTTAGGAAAGTTGGTAGTCATGCTGGAATGTGGCCAAGAATGCAAATTCTCCTTCGTCCCCTGGGGGGACATCCACGGAGGCACGAGGCGCCTCATTTTGAGTATATCATGAGAGACATGGTTTGGTTCATGCCATCAAGGAGCTGGAGACCCCGTAGTTAGAGGAGTAGGTGCCATTGGCAGACGCAGCATTCTCAGGACCTGGGAGAGTGGGGGGATGAGGGTCACTCTGGGGCACGGTGTGAGCAGGGTGGGCAAAACTCGACAGGAGGGCCAGCCTCCTTCCTCATGGAAAAGGCCTCTACAATGCAAGGAGCGCCTGGATACGTGATGTGTGTGCCAGGCATGGGGCCTGCAAGTTGGCATGGCCAAACTCCGTAAACCCACGTGGTACGTTCAGGCAGAAGGCCGGGTCTCAGCCCCATAGCAGACTCGAGTACCCTGGGCACAGCACACTAAGGCCTCCCCACAATAAAGTGAAGCAGCCAGGGCAGAAACGCAAGCTGCCTGCCCCCTAGAACCAGCAGGCAGCTCCCTGACTCAACATGTCCCTTTGGGGGTGAGGAAGATGGGTGCAGGGCTGGGGTCCAGATGCCGACTTGGGCACCCCTGCAGCTCACTCTCTGTGCTACAGAAATGGGCCCGAATGGCGCTCGGATCGACTGCGGCTGAACCCAGACGTGCTGTCGCTGCAGGCCGTCCAGAAGTACCTTCCCATGGTAGACAGCGTGGCGAGGGACTTCACCAAGGCCCTGCTGTCCAAGGTGCTGCAGAACCCCCGGGGGAGCCTGACCCTGGACATCCAGTCCAGCATCTTCTACTACACCATAGAAGGTGGGGGGTCCCCAGGGCAGGTGCCGGGCTAGGGAGCTGGCAGGAGGCAGCTGGGAGGGGCTGGGCTGCCATCCACTCAGCAGCCCCCTGCTCCCCACAGCCAGCAACTTGGCCCTTTTTGGAGAGCGGCTGGGTCTCCTGAACCACAGCCCGAGTCCAACCAGCCTGGCCTTCATCCACGCCCTGGACAGCATGTTGAAGACCACCGTGCAGCTTATGTTCATGCCCAGGAGCCTGTCCCGCTGGACGAGCCCCAGGGTGTGGAGGGAGCACTTTGAGGCGTGGGACTACATCTTCCAGTATGGTGAGGGCCGGGGGCCGGGCAGGGCTGTGTGGCGGGGACACTGGGGCCACTCCGGGGGAGGGCGGAGGCAATACCAAGGGTCATGGCTTCTTCTCAGTCCTTGAGAGAGTTGGCAGTGAGGCAGCGCCGGGCGGGGCTGACCCAAGGTCTTGGGCAGGAGATGGAGACGGGGTGCTGAGGGCTGTCGCTTAGGAGGGCGACGGGAGGCTGTGCCTCCAAGCACCAGGCCAGGGCTCTGTCTCTGTGCCCACAGCCAACAATTCCATCCAGAAAATCTACCAGGAGCTGGCCCTCGGCCGCCCACAGCACTACAGCGGCATTGTGGCCGAGCTGCTCCTGAATGCAGACATGACCCTGGACTCCATCAGAGCCAGCTCCATCGACCTCACTGCCGGGAGCGTGGACACGGTCAGGCCAGCCACCAGCCCTGCCCATAGAACATGGAGCCCGCCTGAGTGCAGGCGGTGCCCTCCCGTGCCAAGTGTCTCCTGCATGCCCCCTCCCCAGTCTGTGCCTCCAAGGCGTCTAGTCTTGGACCTCAGCTTCTAAACTGATGGAAGGCTCTGAGGGGAGTGCACGTGGGGGCCATTCTTGAAGGGGAGGGTTTGCCGTTTCTCCCGTGGGAAGCCACGCTCCAGCCAGACTACAGAGCAACGAGGCTCAGGGACATGCAGCAGCACAGGCCCCATTCAGACCATCAGGGTTTGGGAAAGAGGGGAACGGCCGACACACAGCTGGACAGCTGGACAACTGCACAGGGGACCCTGCCCAGTGACAGATGACATTTGGCTTTCATTAAAGATCCCGTGCAGGTGACAGGCTGATGACAGGAAGGGCAGCATACTGCTCCAGCTAAAGGAAAAAGCAGATGGCAGCACAGCACTGTGGGCAGGGTGGGCCCCAGGGTGTGGGGTGCAGCCAAAGCCCCCTCCCTCTAGACCCAGCCTTCACCTGCCAGCATCTCTGAAGGTGGCTCTGGATCTGGCACCCGGGATGCTGTGCAGAGTCACAGACCCCTGAGCGAGAGAAGCTCCCTGAGCGAGGCTGTTACGTGGCGAGAGAGCCCAGGGGAGGACGTGTGCCTCAGGGGGCAGATCTGGGCAGGCTTCCTGGAGGCAGAGGACTTCCGGCTGAATGTGAAAGAACCACACAAAAGTTATGCAGGCCGTGAAGAGGTGTCAGGGAGGGCGGCCCAGGGGTGCAACAGCAGACAGCAAGGGAAGGCAGTGAGGCTGAGCGGGGGGCAGGTAAGCGCAGAGATCGGGCCCCTGTAAGGAGCCAGCTCAGGCACCAGGCCGGCATCCAAGGCTAGAGGAAGCCAGGGAGGGGGGCATGTGGGTCAGACTTCTGCTCCCTAAGGTCCCTCATGTGCCACAGGGAGCAGCATGGACCGAAGCAGGTGAGCAGCAGGGAGCCGCTGTCACGCATCAGGAGATGCCAGGGGCATGTTGGCGTGGGGGTGGGATTTAGGAGATGAGCAGTCCCCCAGATCTCAGACTGAGCTTGGGACGCCTCTCCCTGCACATGGGAATGACCTAGGAGGAGGAACTGGTTGGGGTTTGACCTGGCTGCGGATGCCCAGGGGAGATAACCCATTGGGAGTAGATGGACCTGGGGCTCCAGACACCCACCCCAAGTAGAAGGCAAGGGTGAGCCCCTCCTGGAGCCCAGAGAAGGGTGAGAACCCGGCCTGAAGCGGCAAGAGGAGACCTGTGTGTTCCCTGGGATTAGGGATGCCTTCCCTGAGGGACTCAAGGGAAGTAGAAGAGGTGGGTGTTGAGGTCTCCACATGTCCTGTTCTGGGCATGCACATCACCGAGGGTCTGAGAAGACCTGCCTCCAGTGGAAGACCATCTTCCTGGGAGGGATAACCTGAGGGCTGAGGTGCACGGCTTGTGCCGAGGTCTGAGCCCTGCACCCATGGCTCCTGCAGACGGCCTATCCCTTGTTGATGACCCTCTTTGAGCTGGCTCGGAACCCTGAAGTGCAGCAGGCCCTACGTCAGGAGAGCCTGCTGGCTGACGCCAAGATCTCTGAAAATCCCCAGAGGGCAACCACAGAGCTGCCCCTGTTGCGGGCTGCCCTCAAGGAGACCCTAAGGTAGGTGTGGCTCCCTGGGCTGGCCTGCGGTCTGGGAAGCAGCACTCACTGGGGCTCACAGACGGATCCTGGGGCTATAAGCAGCATTGCCCGAGGATGCATAACCCCCCTGCACCTCCTCTTCCTCTCTCTAGAACAGCGGTTCTCAACCTGTGGGTCGCGATCCCTTCGGGGTTCGAACGACCCTTTCACAGGAGTCGCCTAAGACCACCAGAAAACAAAAAGATATTTACATTACGATTCATAACAGTAGCAAAATGACAATTATAGAGTAGCAACGAAAATAATTTTATGGTTGGGGGTCACCACAACATGAGGAGCTGTATT